ACCATATCGGTGACCTATCAGATTCTATCTCGGTGACTTTCGGTGCTGTCTACCTCCCCCCACCTCTTCGTCTCTCCTCCCCCATTCATCTGTGTCTGTGTGTACGGGGCTGAGCATCTTCTATATATGGCTCAGACCCCACACCCCACGATTGTATGTGTGTGGAGTGATGCTATGTGAGTCAGTCTATGTGAGTCAGTCCGTTCATCAGACTTCCGTTGCATATATGCTCATCCTACATTGGTTGATCCTTGGTTCTGCCCATACTCATTGGAGTATGTAACAGGGTGACAAAGACAGGTAAGAAGAGATGAGGAATGAATCGAGTCGAGATGGAGAAACGTAGAGAGTTCCAATGCTAAGACATGTTCAAAGGTATATATACCGCACAAAAAATAAAAATAAATCAGTAATCAGTTCCGCGTCTACACCTGTTTCAATTTACTACAGCAAGAAATAAATAATATACAACAGAAATTTTCTTTCTAATCTCACCCTTATCTGATCTAGGTGTGATGACGTCCTACAGCAAGTGCACAGGTACCGCAGCCGCGGCCAGTGTGATCAAGACAACAGCACACAGGTGAGTATGCACAGAATCACAGAACAGCCAACAGGTAAGTAGAAAGCCAACACAACCACACCAACAATGGTTAGCTCCTACTGTACCATCTGCAAAAGCAATGCAATCCTCTTACATGCCATGTGTCACCCTGGCATGCCAACACAGCAGATAATCTGCCACATGAGCACATGAAGAACCTGGTAGGTCTACAAGGGGGGGATGCCACGTCAGCAGCACAGACCTGTCACAATCTCAACATTGGCATATATCACATAAGCACTGTGCCTCATCAGCTGTACCAATCTCTCTCTCCGTACCAGCGCCAGGTCAGTTCATTGCCAACGAAGCTCTCGCTGGTATCTTCAATCTTCAATGCAGCTATGTCATCATCTTCAAGGGATCGCTGCTCGCAAGTGCACTATTACCATGTCTAGACTTGCGGTATGACCGCGCGCGTCAATAAACGCCTTTCATATTGCACATGTGGCACCTCCCACTTACCTGGGTGCCACGTCAGCACCTGTCAGCAGACGGCAGATCGCGATGACGAGTAGCTCTGATACCAAATTGCAATGAACCCAGTCTGTTAGATACTCAGAAGTCGTCAATCAACAGTAGTTTCAATATCTGTCTGAAAGTCTCCAGATCGTGAAGTGATATCTCAAGCAGTATCTCATTATCCAAAAAGAGAAGAGTACGGAGGGAGAATAGACAAAGGAGAGGAAGAGAGAATGCACAGAACCCTTCAGATCCCTCTCCTTCTGCGGGCTTCTTTCCACACTACATCATCAATGATAATAAGAATAATCCTGATCACATACAATAGTGCCACGTGGCACTTTATCTCATAAAGACTTTGAAGACAACAGATTTCCAGTGACGACTTCAGCCACAGGTGAGAACCCGATTCTCTACAACCACAGATCCCGATCTTCCTCTTCCTCGCAACCAGTCACCTCATGCAGACAGCGTGGACAATGCCACGTCAGCAATCAAGACAGGTGGCATATGCCACATCATCAATGAAGACCAATAGCAGCGCCACGCAGACCAAGAGCAGCGTCACGTAAACCAGCGGCAGCGCCACATATACCAGAGGYAACGCCACATCAGCATGCCACGTAGACCAGAGGCAGTGCCACATCAGCATGCCACGTAGACCAGAGGCAGCGCCAATGATAATCCTGATCACATACAAGACCTGTCTCTTATACACATCTAGATGTGTATAAGAGACAGGCGCTACACAGCGCCACGTATACCAGAGGCAGCGCCGCCTCAGCATGCCACGTAGACCAGAGGCAGTGCCACATCAGCAGAGGCAGCGCCACGTATACCAGAGGCAGCGCCACATCAGCATGCCACGTAGACCAGAGGCAGCGCCACATATACCAAAGGCAGCGCCACATCAGCATGCTACGTACACCAGAGGCAGCACCACATATACCAGAGGCAGCGCCACGTCAGCATGCCACGTAGACCAGAGGCAGCACCACATATACCAGAGGCAGCGCCACATCAGCATGCCACGTAGACCAGAGGCAGCGCCACGTATACCAGAGGCAGCGCCACCTCAGCATGCCACGTAGACCAGAGGCAGTGCCACATCAGCAGAGGCAGCGCCACGTATACCAGAGGCAGCGCCACGTATACCAGAGGCAGCACCATGTCAGCATGTCAGGTGCCACGTGCATCGAAGAAGCACCAGCATGCCACCTCCACCTTATTCCGTCGTCCGCAACGCGTGTGCACAGCCAACATGAAGCCGGCGTTATCAAAGTCGAGCCAGCATCAAAGCAGCATAGCAAGACTGAATGCTTGACTTGCTCGAGGCCAGCCTTAAGTAGCAGTCGTCGAGGCTGTCTGGCCTCGGGTGCCGTTCCTCCAGTCGTCCAGATTGACTCACATCTCAAGGCCCGGATTGTATAGTTGCAGACTTCTCCCTTGGACCTGATGCTGTCTGGGTACCTGCATACAAACAAATGTGTGTGCTTGACCTGCGGCCTGGGCTAGGTACCTTTGGATTTTGACTGTTGGGTGAACCGACAGTTGACCGAAGTAAACTGTCACACGCCCAGGCCCTGAAATCGTGAAGGGCTTTTTCTGCCCTTATTTGGCCTGGGCTGAGGGCAGCCAAGTAGGCCTTCTGATGGCCCTCAGTTCCACGAGACTTATGGCATGGGTTATTGCAGTCCAGCTCTGAGCTAAAAATAAATATCAGAAAATAAATAAATGAACCCAACAACACATCCATGCCCCAGACCAGCGATCTGGGCCTATAAGGGCAAAAAAGGGCGCTGAGGCCCTGAGAAGCTGCCCAACGTGATGTCTGCATGGTCCAATGTTTCAAGATGATGTTCGTGCGGTCCAGGGCACTAAACTGGGACACTGCCGGGCCCACAGGGCCAGTCTGGGATTTGAGTATCCAATGCTTTCCAGTCTGGGATTTGGACCTCACCCCGTACCACCTCTTCGCTGTAGTGCTTCCAGGTGTCGTCAGTCGCCCATGGTCTGCCCCATGAAGTATTTCAGCACAACAAAGCTGTTGCTGGTTTTGACTGACAGCAGGCAGAGGGATGAACACTAGCACTTCAACAACGGCTTTGCTGGTTTTGACTGACAGCAGGCCAAAGGGCTGCAGTGCATGCTTCCACGAAGATGACCACTTCCTTGAACCTGATCTCATATCTCCGGGCAGTAACTGCAGCAATTCGAACATCTCTGCCGAATTGCTGGCTAAGACATGACGCATCTGCTCTTTGAGTCGACATGAATGTGCTTTCATGGCACACTTCGTTTCCTATACTGCTTTCAGTTGAACGATGTGCGGGATTGGGGGGGGGGGGGGGGGGGGGGGGGGGGGAGAGAGAGAGAGAGAGAGAGAGAGAGAGAGAGAGAGAGAGTACATGCTCCTTGACTCTAGATCTGAGATTTTGAGAGAGAGAGAGAGAGAGAATACTCAACATTGGTACATGCTACTCGACTTTAGATCTGAGATTCTGAGGCGAGCAAGAGGGGATGATATTGAGCTGCAGGAAGGACACTGGGTCTTCATCTTCCTTTTTAGTTTCATCCTTTGTCGCGTACCGTAAAGGTGCAGACCAGAACGAGAACCGACCTCTCTTGCATAGTACAAGGTAGCACAGCGGAAGGCTTAAATACCAATGATCCGAACAATCAATGTTGCCATGCAGACCAGACATACATCATCATCATTCCATGGTGTGAAGGGGCCTGCCGCTCACACAGGAAGAATGCGCCAGTCCCCAACCATACACGGACGAAGAAGAGGGGAACATGGGAATGTCGTCAACACCAAGTCTTCCGTACAGGTCCCAAATAATCCCTCGTCAAATGTCTGAATCCCAATGTCGAGTCTGGACCCAATTGTCGTCAAGTCCCAAAGTCACCAATCTCTCTCTCTCTCTCTCTCGTAGTCTGCAGATGCTGAGAAGTTAGGTAGCGAGAGGGGAGGAGGAGATGATGGACTTAGCAGAGGAAGAAGAAGAACTCTCTCTCGCTCTCTCAGTCCAGTACTAACCTGTGAAGGTGGCGCCTTGTTGCAGGTACGTCGAAGACGAAGCTGGAGCAATGGCGCCACAGGTAAGTCTCCCTGGCCTCCGCCAACCATCTCTCTCTCCACTACAACTCTAGCTCCTGATAGCGCCCAGCGCTATAGACTACTGCTAACGCTACTACTACTACTGCAGCGCTCCTCCGGAGTGCTGCTGCCGAATCCTGAAGACTGCCACCTGCTTCCTGCACGTGAAGTGCCTGGGAAGTTCCTATGAACTACCTCGTGACTGTCTCCTGACTGCCTGCAGCCTGCAGGGCGGGCCAGTCTTATATAGTGCTGGCCCGTCCAGGAGGCTGCGCTTGCCAATGCCAAAACGTGCCAGACCCTGGTGCTGAAGTTCAAACAAAGGTTGTCTTGAAAAACAGGCCAAACATGGCCTGTGCTAAAAACCCTGGTCTGGTGCCTAAGTTTCAGGGCACGCCGACTTTATGAGAGCCTGAAAATGGCCCTTGTTTTCAGGCTTTTAGGCTGAAACGACACAGGGCCTGTAGGCCCTTGTTTTCAGGCTTTCAGGCTGAAAACAACACAGAGCCTATAGGCCCTTGTTTTCAGGCTGTCAGGGTGAAAACGACACAGGGCCTGTAGAGCCCTTACTTTCCTTGTATGGTCGGGCCTTGCAGGCCCGTGTGGATGCGCAGTATGCCACTTCCTTTCTCCCTCCATCTCTCACCTTTCACATGCTGTCTATGATTGTGTTGCTTCTTCCAACCCTCACCTTGGACTTCGTCTGTGTATGATTTCAGCAGGAAGGTTCTTCAATGTTTGGACCCCTCACCAGTGCACGATTGGATCCGACTCACATAGTCATTTCGCTGCATGGTCAAGCCATACCCTATCCAATACTTTGTCATCTCTCAGCATTGTCAAGTTATATCCTATCTGGTACATTATCATTTTCTTTTTGCTGGACAGTCGTATCCTGACAAATACGAAGCATGCATGCATGCATCTCTCTCTCTCTCTCTCTCTCTCTCTCTCTCTCTCTCTCTCTCTCTCTCTCTCTCTCTCTC